CCCTCCTCCCCACCTGCAGCCCCGCCAACTTCGCTAACTTTTCTTCCTCCAGGTGCGCAGGAGTGCGGCTGGGAGCTCCGAGGAGCCGTGCGCCCGGCTCCCCGGGGGCTTCCATGGCTGTGCGCTCCGCCGGCTTCTCCCGCCGGGACCAGGAAGAGCAGCCAACCCCCTAGGCACAGGCGCTCGCATTCCCGGCGGTGAGTAACACTTCCTGAGGGCGGTGCGCCCTGTCACGCCCCGCGCGTTAACTCTTGTGTCTCCACTCCGCCCGGGCGGTGCTCGCCGCCTTCGTTCTGGGCCCAGCCTAGTGGGGGGCCGGGACCCTGTCCCTGCTACCACCGCTCTGAGGACCGCAGCTGGGAGGGTGCCATCTCCGCACAGAATTTCCTGCAGTCTCGCTGGTCCCCCTGAAGCCCCACGCACGGGCGGGAAGGGGTTAAACGGCGCACTTCTGGTCTCCGCTGGCCCCAGCCTGGCCCTCGGGGCACCTTAAGCCTGTGGTCACTTGCTCATCTTTCCCGGCCTCGAGGTCAGCCCGGTGGCACAGCTCCCCCTACTGGCGACGGATGACTCATTGCCGAGTCTAAGCTGCGCTTTGGGATTTCAGGTTACCATGGAGAAAGGATGCTGTATCTCCATGGAAACGAACCCCTTTGCTTAACTGAGGTTCTGGGGGTGGTTCTAGCACTCGGCGCTGAACAAGGGGGAGTCTGGCTGTGAGGTCGTCAGCACATGGCGCTGCTGCCGGCTGCCTCCCACGCAGAGGCCCTGCCAATCTGCCAAGCCACCAGGGCAGGTGCAGACATGACTGTCTCTAAGCACAGAGCGCTCAGCCCCCTTCCCCACCCGGGGTCACGTGCTCTGCCCGCGCAGCCACGTGTTGCTCGCTAGGCTCAGCGGTACCAGTAGCCTAGGGCCCAACCCCCACCTATGGGTGGCTGTGAAGGGCACTCTGTCCCCAGGTCAGCGCCAGGCTCCTGCTTGACTGGGAGAGGTGTCATCCCGGCTGTCTGATTCTGCCTGTCTCAGACGCTCCTACTCAAGCCCCCTTCCTTGCCAGGAAAATCAGACAAAATCAGGCACACACAGGCAACACTGGAGTTCCAGGAAGGTTTTAATTCCAGTCCCGACCTAGGAGGCAGATGCGAAGAGATGCGGCTGGGAAACCCTGGGCAGCCTGGCTTCTCACCTCCAGCCCCCACCAGGACAGCCCGCCCCCCAGATACAACTTATGGTTCCCAGTCCCCAAGAAGGAAGACGTTTGCCTTCAACGAGGCGTATTCCTTGTCAGGGAGGACTGAGGAGTCTGGTCTTCCGGAAGACTGGCAGGCTAGTCAGGCTGGGGGAGGACAGTCTGGCCTGTGCAGGTAGGCTCCAGGCCCACGCTGTGGCGGTCCCTGAAGGGGATGGGGGAGACCAGCTGCAGCCCTGCAGAGCCACCGGGCTGCCAGGCAGAGCTCAGGGCCTGGCGGTCCACCTTCCTGCAGCAGGAAAACATGAGTCTTGCGCGGGTTTGGTGCCAGCTACTTCCAGGGATCCCTTGGCTGGCAACAGCAGGGTCACGGTCCTGGGGGTGCGTGGGGAGGGGAAGATCACTGAGGTGAGAAGGGGGGAGCCCCTCCACGTGGACACTGAGGTCAGTGGCCTTTGCTGCCCGATGACCTCACTGCAGCCCTCAACCCAGCCGGGTGTCCCGCAAACCAGGCCCACAGGGTGGACCTGTACCTCCCTCTCCCACCCAGCCCAGCTGGGGGCTTGATCCCCTTTGTTCCATCAGCCCACAGCCTCCCACCCCCACCCTGCTTCCTGCTCAAAGAACCCCAAAAGAACCTCCAAAACCTAGGTCGGTCTTCCTCTAGGCCCCAAACTGTGATGTGACCACACCTCTCTGGCCTCTTCCCTGGAGGCTGGGCTGAGGGAGATGGCAATGGGAGGCAGGAGGGTCTCTGAAGGTCTTACCGTCTGATTTTCTCTTCTGAGGTGACATGGCTGCTCTCGCCTGGGTGGGCAGGAAGAGAAGCCTCCCTGAGCACCTGCCCTCCCCCCCACGTAAGGCACCCCATGGGATCAGCCCCTATGGGGAGGGGCTGCCCTGACCTTTTCTAAGCCAAGTTCTGATGGGGGTCTGTTCCCAGCCAGCTAGCCTCCTCCCTCCTTCCCTCCCTCCCCATCCGAAAAGGAGGGGTTGGAATACTAACAGGCTCTATCCACGGCCTGTGTCCCACAGGAATGGGGGGGAAGCTGGGGTGAAGGCAGGGTGAGAGGAGCCACAGAGCCCCCGGCCCTCAGTGCACGGCTGCAGTGCCAGGCCGAGCTGGGGTGGGGGCCTGGGAGCAGCACTGGGCCTACCTTTTTGATGGCGGTCCAGTCCTCCAGGATGTCAATTTCCTGAAGCATGTACACAATGTAGGGGCCTGCAACCAGGTCAAGGAAGCACAAGGCTCGGTGGAGGTCAGGTGACAAGGTGCAAGGTGGTGCAGGGATGTGTGGGCTTGTGAGGTGAGAATCTGGGTTATAGCAATGTCCACCCCCACCGTGAGACATGAGACCCCCTGGCTCTTGAGAACAAAGGGTGCCTGCCGAGCCCACCTCTAAAGCCCCTCTGCTCACTGTCCCCTCCTTTCTTCAGTCAAGGTCTGTGGTCCCAGGTGCATCCCCTGGGACTTGGCGCCACCCCCCCACCCCCGCCCTCCCGCCCATCACAACAGACTCCGGTCTCTGTCATTCTGAAGACAAGCCTCCCGTGGCCTCAGACTCCCCTCTGGGACCATCCACTCTGCCGTCTTGTGCTCCCTTGCACTCTGCACCTAATGGCCCCATACCCTCACATCCCACTCACCCCATTTACTCGCAGATCCCTCCTACCAGCCTGAGCCTCACTTCTAGCACTAGGTGACCTGAGGGTCTGGTTGCTTTGGCAATGCCCTACAGGGGCCCTGGGAGCTCAGCTCAGGGTCTGGGGTGAGCCAGGAGGGTCAGGGGTTGAAGACTCAGCCGAGCAGGGGCCGATACTCCCGGGTGGGATTGTAGGCATTCTACGAGAGGTCCCAGGTGTGCAGAAAAAAGCCACAGCCAGTGGGGGAAGCCCGGAGGGGCTTCACAGAGGAGGTGACACTAGAATACTGACAAAGGGGAGAAAGCTGGAAAGAGGAGGTGGAACCCATGCAAAGTCCAGGCTGGTGAAGCCTGGGACGGCCTGGATGAGCGAGGGATTGGGGAGGAATCATGGGAAGGCCAGCCTCACTCAGGAAGTCTCTGGGAGTCAGGACTGAAATTCCGCCTTCCCTACGGTCTATCTGGCCCAGGAAACCCAGAACCTCCAATAAATCCCTGACAGCTGGGTTTGCCTGGATGTGGTCACACACCACCTAGCGACCATGAGTGTCCCTGGCCCCGCCCAGCCCCAGGCCCCACAGGCAGAAGGATACCAGAGACCAGAGGTGCCTTCTTCCGCTTACAGGGCGGCAGGGAGTCCCAGGTCTTAGAGCTGCCTCTGGCGTGCAGTTTGTCATCCCACCACTCTGTGACCCAGGGTCAGGGTCAGGGTCAGGGTCAGGGTGCCGGCCCACAAGGGCACCTGCTACCCTCATTGCTTTTGCTCTCCCCTCCCCCATCAACCATGAGCAGGCCAGGTCTGGGAAGCCTGCCCCACAGCCGTGCAGCCTGTGAAAGGGCACTGCACTGCTGTCAGCCTTGTGTCTCCCTCAGTTCAGAGGACGGGGTGATGCCGGCTATTGCTCCCCAGGACCCCCAGCAGTATCCAAGGCAGAACAACTGACTTGAAGTGTGAACATGGGCTGTGCCCACGGAAGGGACTGTGGTGATCATGTGTGGGCGTGCCAGCTGGAGTGAGCAGGGGCGGGGGCACAGGGCCCACCCTGCCTGGACCCCAGTGCAATGCCAGGGCCTGGGCTGGGCCCTCCCACGCCTGCTCAGTCAGTCCTCACGGCAAGCCCGAGGAGCAGGGCTGCTGACAGCCCCCGGGTAGTCAGGAAGCCGAGCTGCCGAGGGCGGGTGGGCACGGGCAGAGCAGGACGGGGACCGGGAGCCAGGGGCGGCCCCGCGCCTCACCCGAGCTGATGTCCAGACCCTGGCGGTCCTCCTCCAGCCGCTGGATCCGCTCCTGCAGCTCCCCCTGCAGGGTGTCGTACAGAAGCAGCTTCTCGCTCTGCAGGGGGCAAGAGCTGTTCAGCCCTCAGGCCCCCAAGACCCCCGCCCCCGCCCCCCAGCCCCCCCACCGGCCCGCCCAGCCCCCCCCACCTCCAGGTGTTGTTTGGCTCCCTGCAGCTCACACTCGTATTTGTTCCTGATCACGTCGAGACAGAAGCCCTTGTAGACGCCTTTGGAGGAGGGAGAAGGGGCCCCACTGGGCTAGGGGTTGGGAGGTATCCAAGGAGCGCTGGGAGCACAGGGCAGGGTAGGGATGAGGGGAGGGCCAGAGGGGGTGACTGGGGCCTGGCCCCAGGACATGGGACAGCCCACGTACCCGCCACCTGAATGCGAATCTTGAGGCTCTGCTGCAGGCCCCCCAGGGGCTCCGTGTACTCAGGGGCTCTCTCGGCCCCCACTTCCTCCAGCCGTACCCGCAGCTGACTCAGTCGCTCCCTGAACAACCTGGAAGGTGAGAGACGCCCCCACCCGTTGGGGCATCGGTGCCCATGCTCTGTGGCAGGCGCCAGTGCCGGGCTTGCTCCCTCTGGGCCTCAGCCACCCGCCTCCTCCCCCAGAAGCCCCAGGGGGGCAGCTCACTTCTCCTTCAGCTCCGAGAACTGCTTCTCCAGGTCCAGCATCTCGCTGACACACTCGCTACGTCGCCGCTCATAGTCCTCGTCGTCCATCTCTGGGGAAAAGAGGCCGGTCAGGGCCTCGCTGATAAGCAGCACAGGGGGTGTCGTGTGCATGCATGAGTGCGTGCATGTGTGCATGAGTGCGTGCATGAGTGCGTGCGTGAGTGCATGAGTGCGTGCGTGTGTGAGTGCATGAGTGCATGAGTGCGTGCATGTGTGCATGAGTGCATGCATGTGTGAGTGCATGAGTGCGTCCATGAATGCGTGCATGTGTGCTTCCATGAGTGCGTGCATGTGTGCGTGCATGAGTGCGTGCATGTGTGTGTGCATGTGTGCGTGCATGAGTGCATGCATGTGTGCATGAGTGCGTGCATGTGTGAGTGCATGTGTGCACACACTCACCGGAGCTCTCCCCCTCAGACTCGGTCTGGCTGCCACTCCGTTCCTCCTCACTCTCCTCTTCCTCCCCGTTCATCTCGGCTGCAGAGTCTGCCTCTGCTTCCATCTCTTCCGGGTCCTTGCTCGGTGGCTGCACCGGCATTTGGGCTTTGGTAGAAGGGGTGGAACCATCACTTAGCACGACCCACAGTGCAGAGCGGGCAAGCAGCCAAGCAGGGGGGCAAACCCAGCCTGACCCTCAGTCCGACGGGGACAGCGGGGAGGTGACTGGCCCTGACACCCTGACGTGTGCTGGGCAGGAGGGTGCAGATGGCCCCAGGGACACCTCTTGCCCTGAAACCTGGGAGCCATAGAAACGCTCAGGCCTGTGGACCCTGTAACGATCCCAATGCTGGTGAACCGTCCTTGGAAAGTCCACGGGCAAAAAGCTGAGACAGCAACATCCCACTACAAAGAGCAGACACAGCCAGGTGCAAAGTACTGAGGTACAATGTCAAGTGTGGCTCTGAGGATACCCAGTTGCCATTGCTGTGGCCTCTGTGGGAGAGGAATGAGGATGAGGATGTTGAGGAGCCCAGCACACAGCAGGGCTTCTGCAGGTTCTCTCTTTCAACAACTCCCTCGGTGACCTTTAAACCTTAAACCAAAAACCTTCCCTGAAGTCATCTGAAAACTGAACAGTAGTTCAGCTTAACCAGGAAACAGTGGGCTCAAGGGTAGCCACAATTGTGAGGACCGGGCAGGGTTTCGTTCCGTTGTATGTAAGATCTAGCTGAGCCGGAACCGACTGACGGCACCTAACAACAACAGCAGCAAACAAATAGCCTTCTTTTAAGAACTATCTGTATGGGATCAAATTGACAACAGCAACCAAAAGATTAGACAGGAAGCTTAGGGGGCGGTGAGTTCACGTTCACGGGGGAGGGACAGCTCAGACGAGGAGGGTGAATGGTGCTCAACTCAAAGAATGTGATCAACGTCACTGAACTGTCGACGTGGAAACTGTTAAGTGGCTGTATGTTCTGTCCTGTGTATTCTCAACAACAAAACAAAATGTACAGACCACAACCAAAACCCACAGGGCTCCCCCAGTCTACGGGACCAGGCCCCAAGTGCTGGACGAGGCTTCCAAGGCCCTTCCCAGCCTGCACTGAGCCCCGTGCCCATCTCCTCCACTTCCAAGTCCTCAGACCCATTTCTCTCCTCCCCGCTCCTGCCCCTCCTTTCGCTCACCACGCCCCCCTCTTCCAGCCGACAGCGTTCCACACTCTGTCTGCACCACCCTCACCCCTCGGCTCAGCCCCTTCAGTGACCCTGGAGTCCCATCACAGACCCCTCTCACTCAACACGTCCTGCCTTGGTATTTGCAGCCTCTTCCGGGGCCTGAGCAATGCATAATACGATGGCAACCAGACCACTGTGCGCCCCGATCTCACAGAGGCTCACCCCAGGCCCCTTCCCCTCCCGGATCCCTCCTCTCATCTTTCTGTTCCTCCGTGACCTTGTGACATCACAACCCCCCTCTTCTGTAGCTTCCACTTCTCCCCTTGGCAGGCGCCTTCCTATTATGCTTTCAACGTACTGGGGAGTTTCCAGCACCAAGAAAACGTTAAAGTGCAAAGCAAACCCTACCCCACTCCACGTCAGCGCTCCTTGCCTTCCAGGCCACAGCTCCCTTTCCAAGGTCTCATGCACACTTGCCCTTTCCAGGCCACAGCTCGGTTTCCAAGGCCTCATGCACACTTGCCCTTTCTGCTGCCCGACCCTCTACTGAAACGGAACCTGTCGCTTAACCCACAGCCTCCTTGTGGCCAACGCCAGTGCTTCTCTTCATTGATTTCCCAGAAACGTCAAGCACTGCCAAGAGTCCTTTAGTTTGTTCATCACATATTCATTGAGCACTTAGTATATGCCAAGTGCTGCTAGGCACTACGGCAGGTGCTGGGGCCCAGTCTGTGACTTACAGGAGCTTACGTGTTCCTGGGAGACAGAGGCAAAGCAGTCTCCCATCACCAGGTGTGAGAAGAGTTACGCCTTGGGGCACCTAGTCGGAGGGGTATCTAACAGAGGCCTGGAGTTTGGGGCAGCAGTGAGGGCTGCCACGGGAGATGGACCAAGGGATCAACTGACTGGCAGAGGAGGGAACATTCCAGGAAGTGTGGGTAGCATGTGTAAGGATCCAGAAATGAGAGAACGGAGTGGTGGAGAGAAGGGGACCTGGGTCTTAGCCTTAGAGAGAAATCTAGACCACATAGAGATCTGGTCACCATCCTAGAGCAAGCTGTTCACACCATGGGAGAGGGTGCGAACACCAAGGCAGGAAGCGTATAGTGAGAGGGGTCCCTGATGGAACTCCAAGGTCACCAAAGGGGCTGAGGAAGGGACACTTGCAAAGGAGAAGGAAGTCAAGGAGAGGTAGAAAAGAAAAGCCATGAAGCCACGGGCACAGAACAATTTCAGACAGGAGTGATCAGCAAGGGTCTAACCTGCCAAGAGACCCCCTATGAGGAGGCTCTGACCATGCTCCCAACAGAGAACCTCACCACCTCTTCCTTCTCTGGCTGCTGCTCTGCAGTCCTTCAGGGTGCAGGGTGCAGATGCCACCCCCTCCAGGAAGCCTTCTCTCCATCTCCTTTCTCTCTGCCCACTCTCATTCTGTCCCCCAGCAGCCTGTGAGCCTCCCCAAGGCAGGGGCTATGCATCTGTCTTGGTCAACTGGCTGACTTGATGGAGGACTGGCAAATATAAATTAAGCAGATTTCTGCACAGCAAGGAATGGCTTTTAGTCCTCCACAGCCTCAGGTCCCCGTAGCGTTTGTTAACTCTGGTTGACACTGATTCAGGTTGCATCAAATGCCTGGCCTAGGAGAGAGTTTAGTCACATTTCTCAATGATTTCATCAAGGACCTGAACCTGACCGCAAAACCGCAAAACTGTAAAAGGAAACCTTCATTCCTTGCCCACCTGCACTTCTTGATTCTCCAAACCAGGCTCTCTTTTTTCTCGCTCCTTCATTTCCAATTTCTCTTCACTGTCACTATCATTTATTCCGTAAGCCTCAGCCTAAGTCTTACAGCTTCTAGAAGCCTTTCTGAAAAGGAGGTGTGTGTGCACGCCTGGCTCTCCTCCAGGTGTCTCTCATTTTACTGAGAGTTAAATTAAGTCACAACCTCCCCTCCCCACCCGTGTGCAAAAACGGGGACAGCCATTCCTGCTCTGTTGCTGTACAAATGGGAAGGGATGGAAAAGCAAATCGCGGAGCGCTAGGCACATGCCATTCCACCATTTCAGACTGTGAGCTCCAGGAAGGCAGGGCCCCTCCCCACCCTCGCCCCTTTCGCGGCGCCCCGGAGGCTCCGCCTCGCCTCATCTCTGGATGCGCCAGCACGGCCAGGAGAATCAATGGGTCCCCCAGTCTGGCTGCGGCCCCGGACGCGTCCGGCCGGTTAACCTTCCACTTCGGTCTCGGAGGGCGAGGTTGGGCCAGGCGCGCCCGACTGGCCCAGGGAGGCAGAACCGGGGATGGTGATACGCACCGCGCAGATGGGGATCTGTAGTCTCACGTCCGGGACTTCCTAAGAGGCGCCCAAGGCTGCGGGTACCCGCTGCAGCACCAGGCTCCCGGAAGCGCTGCACCGATCCCTCTCCTCCGGGAGGCGGGGCCTGCACGCGCTTCCGCGTGCGTCATTTGGAGGCGCCCGCCGAGGAGCTCACAATTGGACCGCTGAGGACGAGGTATGCTGGGATACCGCGGGCCAGTTTCCATAGTAACTGGCTGAAGTTCTGATTAGGCTTGGGCCTGCTACAAAGGGCTCTGTGGTTTCCTTGCTTCGTAGCGCGAGCCTCGGTCCACGGCCGCCGCCCCGGCGTCCAAGGGGCTAACCCAGGAACCCCCCTCCCCGTAGTTTAGGAGAGAAGCGGAGCCAGCTGTGGGTGTGAACTCTCATTTATTTACACAATGTCATCAGTAGGCAAATACCTAGCACCATCCTGTTGGATTCGAAGGTACAGATTTCCCCGGATTATCGCCCATCGCGCCTGCAGATCCTTCCCTCCTCCAGCTGCTCAGGGCGGAGGCGCTGGTGGTGTTTAGGCTTCTGCCCAAAAGCGAAGAGCAAAATTCCACGCCTTCATTGGATTTCTTTAAGTGGCCCCAAGCCTCAGATCTCTTAGTCCGGTCCTGTTCTTATTTTTTGGCTCTTCTATCACCCACACACCCAGGCTTGTTAATAATAATAACAATAGTGATAACAACAATAATAATACTGTAATATTAATACTTCACATTTGTACGAAGCTTACAGAGTGTTTTCACAGACAGCGTCTCAATCTGAGCCTCCCAACAGTTCCGTGAGGTAGGCACTCTCACCTCCCTATTTACAGACGGGTAAACTGAGGCTCAGAGAGGTAAAGGGAGTTGCTCAAGGCCACACAACTCGTTAGTGGTAATGCTAGGACTTGAGGCCAGCACCCCATATTCAAGTCCAGTGTTCCACCACCACAGCTCCCCCTGCAGCGGGGAGTGGCAGTTCTTACCCCAGTCAGGCCTAAGGGGCGGCCTGAGGAGCCAAGAGGCTGAAACTTCTCAGACTGGAGGAGGTAAATAAAGGCTCAGCAGCGGCGAGGGGAGTGGGGGTACTTGGCTTTCAACTCCTGTTTGAACTGGCGGTACAGGATCTTATTGTGTTGGTTTTCAGCCTCCTTTTGGGGATGGAACTTCAAACCTTCCTTGAAGCCCTTATGCACCAGGAAACCTTCATTCAGAACCTCAAAATCGAACCCTGCCACGTGCAGCTCACAAGCCTGTGGGGAGGGGTGGAGAGCAAGTCACCAAGACATTCCTGGGGCTCAGACTGACATCTCTAAGCAGGACTCCAGCCTCTTCCACCCCTCTGGAGGCATCTGGATCTTCCAGGCCACCCAACCACTTCCTGACTGGGATCCCTCCTTCCACTCAGGGCCACGCCTCCCAGCAACCTGACCCACTCGTCCCCCTTCTCTCCCCTCCCCACTTTTTCCCCTGCTCCCCACCTTCCCACCCACCCCCTCTCCTCGGCCTCCTTCCCCCCATCCTTCTTGCCCTCCTCCTGGGCACCTGGCTGATGCGATTGAAGCCGTACTGTCGAAAGCGCTCGTCGAAGAG